GTTGTATTTGTCAAACTGTAACCTTAGTAATTTTGTCTCAATAATTTTTCAAGTAATTTGAAGAGTACACAAGGAATATGTCAACAGAGTCAATATGTCAACATTAATTTGCATAGAATGAACTAGGGACTTTAAGCGTGCATTTGTTTTCAGTAGGTATTCTTAGGAGAACATTTCACAAAGCAATTTGCTTGCTGCAAACACATACATAGGAAAGAAATGAATTGAACAGTAGGGCAAGTTTTTAAATAAATAGACAGTTTAATTACAGCAATTATACAATGAGCAGTGTTAGTTTTATCAGTTAACCAAGAAAAAATTTACGGACATAAGTAAATTATACTAAATAGTCAATTGATTTATATTTCTATCGATATTTCAACGTCGCTTTGGGAGGGTTGTGATATGTATGTAGAGAGTAAAATTTCTTCATCTTATACGGCCGCCCATCCCTGTTCTTAAGGTTTTTTTTTGCTACGGCAGCGAAGTAGCTTGACTTAGCAGAAAAAGAACGACAACTTTGATGCAACTGATCGTAATAATGCCAAGGAAGTAAGTAACTGAATTTCGAAGATAAAACAAGCTTTGCTTAAGGAGAAAAAAGAAGTTAGGACTTTTGAAACAGTTTTCGTTGTCATTATTGATGTCAATATCAGTTTAAGAATTCTCATTACGGGCATTAAGATTTTTTTTGATTTGAATAGACCTTTTTCTATGGAATAACTGTTGAAGTTACAGGTTTCGACAGATTCATTAAAAATAGACAATCTCTCTTTGTAATAGACACATTCTCTGTTTAATTTCCATCTCAAAAAAGCGTTAGTAAGTTAGATATTTTCAGTAAAAATTTTGCATTTATAACTGTCCTAAGTATGCCAATTTATTTCTACTCCTTCATCAGATTCTTTTCTATTTTCAAATGCAGTAGTTGTCATCTGATTACAGTCTATTTCATTTACCCATGCTCCTGTTCCTACCGTCTTCACTGTTTTGTGAAGTTGCTTCAAAAATTTTTATTTTCCTGTGCTTAGAATTTTCGTTGGTAGAACCTCCATCAAATATTACTTCATCTTGCCTTCTTAATGATTTAAGAAACTACTGGACGTTTTCTGATGTAGTAATAAAGTTAAAGTTTTTATCCAGTTCTATTTAAAAAGCAATTAATATAATTTTTCCACCTTTCGTTTGCAACCGAATTGTAAACGGAAAAAACAGTGAGTTAGTTATTGAAGAAAAATCTTTGGAATGATTAAAATTTTTGAAGAAGAAAAAAAGAGAATCTCAATGGGAAAATGTTTAAATCACGGAATTGGCTTGCGGGAATTTGAGGTGACAGTAATTTATCTATACAAATTTTGTTTTAAAGAGTGATCCATGAGCACTCAACTATAAAAGATGAAGATATGTATGAGTTCTTTAAAAAAGTTAGGAAAACACTATTTAAAACACTTATAAATGAAGGCAATAAATCTAGGATTTTAAACTAAAAAATCTTTCCATTGAAATGACTTCTGCAATCTTGAATTTCGGGTGACGGCTTTTTAAAACTACTGTATCGGCTTGAATTGTACATGAAATATCTGAGAGAAATTTGTTTGAATATTCCACCTAAAATGCTAGCTAAATACTCATAGTCTTTTATAATATTTTAGACTCGAAGTATTTCCAGGGCAGTTAATTGGCAAACGTCTAAAATTAGGCAGATAGCGATGTTCATGTCAGTATGGTGAATCCAGAGGGTGATTTCAGTAAACTGAATATTACTGACTAAAGTTGTTAATGAAAAAAAAAAAAGAAGCTAAGTAGTTTCTGAAAATTGAGCAGTAGAAAAAAATGAGCAGGTTTTGCGGAATGAGAGGGCTTCGCCATTAGTGGTCCCATTTTGCAGTTTTGCGCCAAAGGTGATAAAGTTGGTGATGAATAATGGATGATATGAATCAGTTTTTTGGTGTTTTTGCAAAAATAGGATATGAAGCTTACTTTATCTTTTCCGCTCCACATCACATCTTGAATCGCTACAAATCTGCTTATAGGATCTGCAATAAAGCAACTGAGCAGTAGGCAGGAAAACAAAAAACGATTCAAAATGCCCTATAATCATCAACGAATATCTTCGCCTGCATTGTGTACTAGAAAATGGGCAACGAAAAATTGTCTTATGTGTTCTGATTTCCTCATAAAATTACTGTATTATTTAGGAGGAACACATGACACAAATTTGTCCAGCGTTTTTGAATTACTCAAGAAAGCCATTCATTTTTATGAAAGTTTGTTATCTTAACAAATTGTTAATAATTTATGTTTTACTTAGCTCTTTTCATAGGTGCTGATTGTCTTCAAATTTGCAATTTTATAAGCCTAACCCGCTGTCTAAATTTTGTTTGCTGAAAACTGTCATAAAGTTACTTTTATTACTTATCCATTTTTACTTAGCCTTTGAAATTTCATTTTTTTATTTCTCTTATTCGTCTTTGCTTTGGTAGCACTAAAGAATACTGGGAATGATCGTGTATTCTACTCCACTAACAAAAGTACAAAGACTTACTTGAAATGTATTAGAATAAAAGTTTTAAATAAAGTTATAAGTGTTGATATAAAGCTAAATTTTTTAGTTTCTCCGCATTTTCTCCTCAGCCATCTTTGCATTTTATTCACTTATAAAAATTTAGTCTTTCAGTTATAAAAGTATTTATTGCCCCTCTAACGGTGGTCGTAGTAATCATTAAATTGGTCCATTAGAGCAAGAATAAATAATTTTTATTTGCACTTGTTACAGAACTACATTTGGCCTCTTGAAGCATCATTGTATCTTTCATTTGTACAGCTATCGCTTCCCAATCTGAAATTACCCGCAGATTAACTGTTTTTGAAAAGTGATCAAGTAGTGAGCAGTTGGAAAAGTCGAGACACAAGTCGACCATCTGTATTTCCAGCCAGTTCCAGATCTTTTTGCACCAGTTTTTTTCTTGGTATCAAATTAAATTTTTCTTCTACCTTCACATCTTAAGTTTTATCTTCTAGAAGCAGTGTAGGACAAGGTGACCGATATCAGTGCCTTGAAAACTATTGATGTTTTGAATAAGATATCTAAAAACAAGAAATATAGAGCCCGTAGGTGCTTCCTTAACATTTAATTTTTGCTTGGAACATATTTTACCAGATGCAACAATGGTTTTTTGATTCCATAACCCGGTTCAGGAGGAGTGTTTTTCAACCACAATGATTGGGCATCGTATTATCTGGTATTTTCCTTTTCCGGTATAATACCCTTCACTTCAGAACCGTTACGCAAGTCAAAATTTCAAAAGTTTGCTTTTTCTTTCTTTACTTACAATCGTTCAAATTCACGTATAAACATTTGAAATTATTTTGAAGAAGTAAGAAATGGTCAGAAAAATAGACTGTGTAAGAACTAGACAAGAAGAGAAAAGGCATAATCGGACTGAAAGTAGGGAGAACAAAAAATCTTCGTACCGCATCTTTTTCTTTCTTTTGAAGTTTCACACTTCCGTCTAAAGCCTTAGAAGAGTTTTAAATAAAATTGGGTCTTGTCCTTGTTTCAAAGTTTGGAAGGCCTTACCAAGTCAGTAGTGCATGCAGAAATACAGCAAGAAACGACTTGAAATTTCTTTGAAAACACAGTTTTACCATCAGAGCGAAATATTAAAAAGGTTTTGACACTAAAAAAGATGGGAAGACAACAGTCATCTCATTCGTCCTTATATAGGAAAAACTGAGAAGTGATGGAATTACAAAATGACATGAGAAATGACATGGCAGATGAAATAACACACTTGTAGCCAAAGCTTTCAGATTTTTCAAAACCTAAAAAGCTTTTTGAGAAACAGGTAATGACTGTGTTCCTTCGGCAGAATTGTCCACTATTTCGTTCCCATCAACTGTACTGTAAAAGTTAAAGTTCGGCACCAAAAAATTAACAGAAATTTTTAATATTAAGAGTTTGAAGTACAAAATTGCTTTTATAACTCAAAGTCAAAATTAAATGACCGCCATGTAGAATATCGATCTAAAATTTCTCGAGCAGCTTAGTGCTCCAGAAATTAGTTTTTATTTTTTTTTGTTAATGAAAATTTTTTTTGATTTGAAAATCCTTAATGGTTGGAATATAATAGCTTTTTAAAGGAGATTAAGTTACTTTACAAATTATAAACCGTATTTCTTCAATGAAAATCAATCGAACTTTGAAAACAAAAAAGATAATCGTCTCAATTTAATCAATTACCAGTAACGACTGTTGTTCTTAAAAATTAAAACGACAAGAATAACATATACAAAGTTTTTTTTTATTTAGTACCTACACTCAATGATTTAATTTCTGCTTGTCTTATTCATGTTGAGTGATCCCAACAGGCGTACGTAAATTACATAAAGCGATATTTGATAAAGTTTTTCACAACTGATTATCCAAACGCCCAAAGCATCTGCAACTGCAACTGAACATTAAACCGTCTTCACCACCTATTCCCCACTCAAAAATACTTAATGAAATTCTACAGAAAGATATGAAAGTGCGTTTGCTAATAACAAATAGGTTGTAAACTTTCTTCCAACAAACAAGGGTTTTCCTCAGATCTGCGGGGTCAATTAAAAAGGTCGGTACAATCAACAAAAAAAAAATAGTTCAAGATTATTGAAAAATTATGTTTCTGGAATATTGCCAATTCTGAGGTCCGACAGGCGAAAAATATATACGGTGGAAGATAGCTGTTATAAGAAGACAACCACCTGATGCGAAGAACTGGGCAAAGTTCCAATTATCTAAAGGTGCAAAACTAATTTGGGATCGTTACCGGGCTGTACTGATTTTCAAAATATCTGTAAGATTACAGAGCGATTTTTCTGGCTTTACCTGTATTTGTGCATACTGTAATTTGATGCTGTTTAGTAGGTTTGTTTTTTCTTTTAACTTTTCCAGTGCTCTATGGACTTAAAAACGTTTATTTTTGTTTGGTTTTTAAAATTTGACTCAGCAAGCCACCGGTCAATTTCTAAGCTTTTGAAATGGCTTGGATGGGATGTCGGGAATTGCTGTAGTTCAACGTTTTATTTAGTTTACAAGGTCGGACCAGAAAAGTTCTGGCAGTCTTCCACTTTTTTAATTCGCCGTATATTTGCTGTTGGGGTTCCAGTGGTTCAATGTCGTGTTTACTAAAGAACATCCTGGCATTTTTCCAAATTAGTCCTTCCCTTTAAGCTTTAGAAACTTACGTTCCGTTTTAAGGTATTACAAGCCTTTTTTTTGTCACATATGATCACACAAGCAGTTTTTTATTGCATGAGTTTTTAGGAGGTTGGTGGGGAAGATTTGAAGCTGAAAAAATATGAAGCGTGTTGTGAATTATTTTTCGGAATCTTTTGCAGAGAATGCCGTCAGACGTAAAGAGAAAACGTAAACATTCAGTTGAATTAGAAAGTGAAAATCATGGAACGCAGTACTCTGGCGTGGCAGAAGAAATTGGAGATTTTCTTAAAGGAAGCCTTTCGCCTGTCCAAGAGGTATTTATAGTGGCGAAAGTTTCTTTCAGTTTTCAGTGGTACTGTTTACTTTACTTCACAGCATTCAGGAAATTCGATCGGAACAAGACGGTCTTGAGATATCAGATGGAGAATCGCGGATAAAGCCGTACCAGATGGTTGAAATAGTTGATGTAATGTTCCCCTATATTACTTTTAAAGAATTTTTATATTACTTGAAATGATCTTAATCATAGTTTCCTGTAATGCTTATTTGGTCAATTTCTGTAAAGCTCAAGGAAGTGCTTTAAGTTTTTATTATCATTATTATGGTCAGGACTTTTTTTAGAAGTTGAAAGATTACTTGAATAAACAAAATCCAAATGGGCAGGCGGTAAAACGGAAGTTTTGTGCATTTTCAAATTATGATGTAATAGACCTTCCTGCTGGACTGGATTCAGAGTAACAACTTTGTTATATTCATATTAGCTAATTGACTTGATCATACTTTAGAAACATTATATGTTTTCCCAATCTATACTTTACTCATCAGTTCGTTTTTCACACTTTTCTTTGAATTTTCACTTTGGTATTTCGTTTTGACCGTAATGATTTTTAGAAGGGTTAGAGCCGAGGTTCGTCGATACTACAAAGAAGCGTCGATGAATTCTGTTGTGTCACTTTCATCAGCGCTCAATGTTAGTTTTCATCTGGATGTTATTCTTACTTTATTAGTTTTTTTATTTTTGAGGAGCTTTTTCATATTTTTACCTCGTTCAGTGGGGTGGAGTAGTTAGTGGGCTATTTATTTCTTAATGCTGAACACTGATAAACCTTTTATAACGTTCATTTTCGAAGTTGTTCATTAACTGTTGTTGTGGTAAAGAAAATTTTTCTCTTGGTGGGAAAATTGTGCAGTTTTAGCAAGTCTTAAGTTACGCCAAAAAATTCCTTACTCAACTTTACACTGTACTTCAGGTTGTTTCCAGCTTTCTAGCGGATGGTAAAAGTATTATGCTTGACCCTTCTTTTCCAAAAAAACCTTTGAACGCATTTCAAATGTTCGTTAGAAACAAAGCCGGAGAATCAAACACTTCCATATTTAACCGGGTTAGAATAGTTAGACTCTACCTCTGGTTTTAGTTGGAAAAGTAAGCAAAATTCTCGTTTTAAGGACCTAGCTTTATTATGGAAAGACGAAAGCCATGCTAATGAAAGGTTAGCTGCTGAAGAAGAAGTCCGGCAGTCGTTAAAAAATTACTTAGACCAGTTGGTGCAGTATAGGTATTTTTTATTTCGCTTAATTACTTTTAGTTTTTAAGGTCATTCGTTGTTTTTGTTTAACAGGGACTGTTTTTGATTTAATTTCTTGTAAAAACATTCAGTGCTAGCGGTTTTTTTAGTGTTTTGGGGCATTTTATAATGTTCGGTTGACATCGCTGTGTTTTAGACAGAAGAACTCTGAACTGCCAGCTCATTATGTAGAATATATTGAAAAGGAAATTGTCAAAACAAAAAAATCTGTAGGTTTTTTTAGACATTTGATATGAATACATGATTTGAATTTAGAACTTTTCAATTATTTAGGAATAATAATTAAAGGATAAAATTCTTTGTCAAACATTGTCGCTTATTTGCAGCTTAGCGTGGACGGAAAGCAAAAGAAGAGGGTATCTGGGACTGTGAAGAAGGAAGCAGAGAAGAGGGTAAATAAGTCGCCTTTTGACATCTTTGTTTTGAGTATTGGCGACAAGTAAGTTTTGTTTCTTGAAATAACTTTTATATCTCCCTTAATTTTGTTTTTTAACGATATCTTTGTTAAATCTCTTTTATTAATTTTTACTCATAGGTATAAAGAATTGGATCCTGAAAAGAGGGAAAAAAAATTGCGCAAAAAATTCGCCAGATTAAGTGAAGATGAGCTGGAGAAGTATAAGAATCTTGCGAGATTTTTGTAAGGAGTAAAATAAAAAATTTTCTCAGTGTTTTTTACTATTAATTTTTAATTTCCTAATTTTGCTGTTGTAATGAATAATATGTCATATGCTAGTGTACCTTTTCGATTTCAATTATCTGTAAATAGTGTTGTCATTTTGCCGTTTCTAGGCTATTAGGATAAATTATCCATTTTACTTAATTAAATTGTTTTTTTATTATGAAGGAATTCTTTGGTGTTTTTAATGGTAATTTTTACTAATTTGGTTTTCCAACAGTCTGAATATAGAGTTGACGTATCTATTTCATAAGAATTCTTCAGGTATTTATTTCTATGATGTACATGTAGATCCGCTTAGTTTTTTATGTTGACACTCGCAAGTTGTAGAGAGAAGATTTTCTACTTGACAGTTTTGATGTTCTTCGCTCATTTGATTTTTGTTTGTCGTATTTTGCAAGTGTTTTTCATTGGGGATTTTTTTTTTGTGTGGTATACTGTGTGATGCCTGTTGAGAATCATCAACGTTTGCTATTTCTAATGATTAACAGCACGCCAAGACGGTTAATATTGTTGTTTTAATTGGTTTCTTCTTTCTGAACTTGCTTTTTAACTAAACTCGAGATCTTTTTTATAGTTTTGTTGATGGTTGCATCTTTTGTTATCTTTCTTACTTTTGACATCTGACTTGTTCTCCTCTGATTGTTTTTTCAGTTCTGAGTAATGTTGGTTCGTATTCTGTCGTGGTAGTGGCACTTAGTTCAGTCAACTTTCAAGTCGAGTGCTGTATTCTAGCAGCATAAGTAGGGTTGAAAATCCGTGGCGATTTAAAAATTGATGGGTGGATGTCGGATGGGAATTAGAAGAGGCTTGTAGTTGCAGGGGGAATTAAATGTGCTCTTAAGAAGTTTATTGGTACCGTTTGGTAACTTTGATATTTGGGGTAGGTATTTCGTAGCGTAGTTTTTTACGGTGATAGCTGGAAGGAACGCAGATAAGGTTGTTTGAAATATTTTATGGTGGTTGTGGAGAACATTCTTTAGTGCTGGCTAATCTAACGGCTTCGAGGTGTCAGAAACTTGACAAATTGGGTGCGGAAGAATAAGGAAAAAGCTGATAGTCGGTTAAGGTTTAGGTTCAGATTCAAGGTGAGCAAGGTATTTGCGCAGTTGAGGCGGAAAAAAGTCATTTCAGAGCGGTGTATGTCGGTCTCTGTGAGTCTTGCAGAGTGCTTTTTTTAAACGCTGCTTATAATTTTCTTTGAAGCTGAGTTCTTTGCAGTAATACTAATAGGATTAAGTGTTGTTCGTTTGAAATAACGAAAAGGAATTCTCGTTTAAGAATGAAGCGTGGGATTTCGAAGGTTTTACAGATGTTGATTGTGGTTCTTATCTTAGTGTTGTTTGATTTGTTTGGGTTGTTTGCTGATACTTGTGTCGTTTGTTTTATAGAAATAAGGAAGTTTGTGTATTTTATGAAGTGATGTAAAAAGCTTTTTTTCGAGTTTACTTATCGAGCAATTTAGGATTGTCAGAATGTTCATTCCTTTGTGGCAGATCCCAGATGATGCAGTAATAATCATTTGGCGTTCAAAAGGCAGTGATTTATGGTATGTCCCTCAAACTATGGCTGTACCCCGTAAAACTGATTGAGGGGAGTTTCGTTAAGAAGTTGGTATTTAGACCGATGGTGGTACCAATATTTAGGAGAACTGTGATAATGGCATTGATGAGCTAAGAAAACAGCGCTAGTTGTAGGGGAAATGGTGTTGAAAAGATTCGACAATAATTCGAAGGGGCTACTGGCTTTCTGAGACATCCGGGGACGTGCCCTGTTTTGAACTTTGTAGTACAAACTGATTTCATCACTAGTTGGTAGAGTTACTGTACGTTACCGGCGCATTTCAATAGAATTATACTGACGTCTGTGTTTTTGCTGTTGGCCATAAAGTCGGGAGAAGCGAAAGTTTTTGGCGCAGAAAGCTGGTCAAGTGAAATAGGTTTTATTATGATAGTAGTTTGAAAAATTGATCAGATTTGCTATAATGGGATGTTTATTGGACTCTCAGTATTTGCCAGTCGTATCGACTTTTTGGACCTATGAAGATATTTAGTCGGCGGAAGATGACATTTTGAAAAGTGGACAGGAAAGCAACAGGTCTGTTTGATGAGCTTACATAACAACGGTAGTGTTGACACTTTCTAGTGATGTTTCTGATTCAAGTTTGGTTTCTTTCCCAAATTTTCTCATCAAAACTTTCCGTTTCAATTTTGAGGCCTCTTCTTTATGCATTTGAGTGTTTTTTCTAGTAATCGCTGAACGTGTTAAAGTTGCTAATTTTTGACAAAATTTATATTTTTTTAATTTAATAAGTTGATTTATTTCTATAGTCCAAGGAAAATTGTTATTTTTGCATATGTAAGTCGAGTGAGGTTAGAAAACTGAATAGAAAGAAGAGAAATGAAGTTTCTTGTCAT